TGACAAGAAAAGTCTATTCCAAAGACAAAATTGACAGTTTTTTTTTTTAGAGAATTTAATTTTCTATTCGATGAGATCAATAGTATAACTTAATATAAATATAAAATATCGAAAATAAAAATCGGATACGAATTATTTTATTATTAATAATTCTCTATATAACAGCATTTCATAGATATGATTTAGTTTATTAGAAAAACAAAGTCATTATTTTTTTTAATTGTTTTTGTTTTCAAAAGCTAAATAGTTCAAAATTTGACTTAAAACTTTAAGAATTTTTTTTTTTGAAAATGAAATCAATTATATCTTGATACAAAAATAAAATAGTTAGTCATATTATACGTATTTCAAATCATTACGAGCAAACATCTTTATAGTTACGATGTTTGAGAAAAACATACGAATGTTACAAATGGACGGACGTGTTATATCATGAAAACAAAATTATTGAATATAACCAGACGATTTTACATTTGTTTTTGGTTTATAATTTTGTTGATTTGAAAAGAAAAGATCTGAATCTTCTATCTATATATATAAAGAAGAAAGTTTGTTTGTTTGTTCTTCATGTATTTGGACACGATACGAGCAAATGCAATGAAATTTTGCATAGAATACCCTTTCGTCCTGAGGAAGGTCAAGACGGGGTTTTCGAGATCGGAGGTAGGATTTTATGAAGGATTTTTCGAGGTTTTCTGGAAAATCACACGAAATTTTCTTCGATTTTTCAATTAATTTCAAGATTTTCCCGATTTCTTAACTACTCTCTTCCTGCTTTTACCTCTTTGCGCTGTCATTGATTCAAGAACTACTTTTTGATCCAAAACGTTCACTTCCAAGATATTTAATATTCCCATTGGCCTTTAGTATGGTCTATTTCAATTTAGTTTGAATTCGATGAAATTAATCTAATTTCATTTCAAATTGGATTGTGGAGACTAATGGGAATAAGGCTGGCTAACTTTCATAGTAGAGGTGACAGAACCACTGAGAGAGAGATCAAAAGGAAGACAGAAGATCAAAGACGGCTTGGGAGGAAATCAAAGGAAAGAGAGGGATAGGAAGAAAATCAAAGGCGTCTTCAATAGAGATCAAAGGGAAGAGAGAGGGAGAGAGAAGAGGGTACAGGGAAGCAGTATTCAAAAAGTGTCAAATGGTATCGATAATAGAGAAAGTTTTATTTCTTCTATATACATAAAGAAGAATATTTGTCTGTTCTTTATATATTTTTTCCCTGTAATAGCTAGCGTCATCAAAGTTCTGATATCATACCCGTTGGTCCAGAGCAAGGTTAAGACAGGGTCGGTGCCAGCGACACGGGTGAGAAGTTAGGATGAACTTCCACACAGGTTATAATATACTGCAATTTTCATCAATCTTTCAAAAATTTTAGAGTATTTGTTACGATTGTTAGAATATCCACATCTTACTGTTACTTTTTGCACTGGATGTTGGTATGAGGTATGGCAATGGGCATGAATAAAGAGGAAGACACTCACACTCATACACTGTTTGCTGAATTATCAGATTTAAGCATGGATGTAAGTGTATGCACGGCGGGACATGTAGCGATAATCGATGGAGAGCTGTCAAGCGTACCCCCTCTGTATCTTCTTTCGTTTTCTGACATGCTAAGTTTCCAGTGAAGGTTTCCCGAGCAACGCTGGGTACTACCGCTGGTTATCTACATAATTCTTCAATTTCGAAATTACTGTGTATCAAAAGCATTTTTTTAATCATATTTTACCTTATGATAAAGCTGAATGATTAATGACTGAAAAAACGAATATTTCGAATAAATGATAATCGTCAATTTATTATTAATAACTCTTTATTCTTGTTAAACAAAATGATGATGTTATATTTCTACTTATATATCTGTATGATATTAATTTGTTTGTTTTCATGAAAAGAAAAATAAGAGAAAAACAAACACCTAACAGAAACAAAAAAAATCATTTATCGAGTGGAATATTGAATTCTTCAAACATTTTTTTAACCACGTCGTTGTTGAGCTCGACTTCATTTTTTAATAATTCCGCGAGTTTCTTAACAAAATCGGCATTACTATTATCTACCACAGTTTCATCCTACAAAAAAAAACAAAAATCAATGCATTATAAATTTATGATAAGTTATCCATCAGGACATCCTCCTTACATTAAATTTTTCAGCCATTTTTTAAATATAATATCAATGGTCTGCATACACGCACATACAGACATATATATATATATATATATATGTCTGTATGTGCGTGTATGTAATGAACGAGACGATATTTTTTTTTCTTTTTTTTCCCTATTTTCTTCATTATAACGGATGAGGTCAAGTGAAAAAGAAGAGAAAAATGCCCAACTCGAATCTTAGAAGTTTTGTAGAAAAAAAAATTTCTTTAAAGAAACTCACTGGAATATTTAATAAGCCATCGTCATCATTCTGTTTCAAGTTCAAATCATTTATCATTGATTCCATATCATCCCAATATATTTTATCCAAACCTAAAACATATTATATTGAATTCATCAATATTAAATATATGAATAAATATCATCTTTATCAGCTTCTGAGATACGTGCTTCAACTAGAGTTAAAGATATATCAAACCCAATGAGCCATGTTCCCAATTCGCTTACTGGCCACGAACATGTATAAAAAGTGGCCACATAACAGCTTATCTGTTGTCAAGGGCGGTCTCATCTCTTTTATCTATCTTTCTCAATCGTCTCCCTAGCATATGTAGAACAGTGGTGTGGTGGTGATGAAGCTTGAATGATGGCGCGAGCAGAAAGTGGTATAAATCGATCAGGAGCTGGTTGGGGTAAAAGAAACGCAGCAGCAGCAGTTGCTTGCTGGTTGTACTTTACGAGAAGCTGACGCAGAGTTGTAGTTGCTTCTGGTATATGAACATCTTTCTGAAGAAATTGTAAGTATTGTGGCTTTTTTTCCTCAACTTTGTCATGATTAAGAAAGGTAAAATTTACATCTAATAGATTAACTGGATTAGTAGATTTTCGAGTTGGTTGATGCCATTGCTGAAGACATTGAGTACAGGCTTCATAAAGTTTATTTTGATCATAATCTACTAAAGCAAAGCATAACGCGGCTAGATGTTTACATGCTGCTCGATGACTTTTTCCTGCAACACATTGACATGTTCCTTCTAAGATATCAGCAGGTAGGTCAGTATTTATTATCAACTGTAACTAAAACAGAAAAATCTAAGTCGACAAAATATTGATGCATGCATTTACTTGGTATGTTGTGGACTTTTTCATTTGAGCACGGCACTTACCCAATATTGTTCTTTTGTTATAATGCCGAACAACAGTTATAGTATGAACAAAGTGATCTTTAAACAACAGATTACCAGTTTTCAACGCACCCCGATCAAGGTTTCCATCATTAGCGAATATCGATGAGAAATATTCCGTGATTGAACCCAAATCGATATTAAAAGGTCTTTTATAATCAACAATAGAAACAGCGTCACATGACGATGAAGATGACATGTTTATTTAGAGTAAGAAATGTGAAAAAGAAGGAACATTCTTTCTTGACGACTTTTTTCTATTGCTCTATTAATTACTTTTCTAATGACATTACAAGATAAGAGACCGACACACGTGAATCACTGATTAGCTTATAACTGATAACGGTGTCATTCTTAATGAGTATACTACACGAGTCATTATCAGTATTGCACGATTGATGAGATTATGTTATTGTTCTGAAATGTACTGCTCCGAGTTGAAACGTCATTTTCATTAACAAAATGGTCAAAAAATGCGTTGCTTATTTCAAACAAGAAACCCGATCTAATAACTTTACTTTTCATCGATTTCCAAAGGATAAAAATTTACAACAAACGTGGCTTAGATTACTCAATCGGCTTGATTTGAAAAATGTATCTAATCAAAGAGTTTGTAGTTGTCATTTCGACTCATCTTCATTCGTCACAAATCCAAACAATAAAAAAAATGGTGTTACTTCTCAAAAAGTTCAAAAAAGATTAAAACATGGTGCTTTACCTATGAATTTAACTATCTCAAAAAAATCCACTGACTTTTCTCGTTCTATTTCCACTCAAACAGATTTGGATCTGAATGAGTCATCTAATTTATTTCATAAACTGTCTCTTTACGAGCAGTCAATATTTAAAACAGTTATGTGTATTGAACGTTTTCGTAATGATGATTCAAACATTAGATATTTTACAGGTTTTCAAACTTATGATATTTTTATTATGCTATATGAACTAATGCAGGTAAACTAAAGACACTTATTTAACTTCTAATTTTTTTAAAGACTAAAATCTGATCAAGATATATATACATTTATAAGCAATATTGAGGACATATATTTCTTGTGCAACAATAAAATATGCTAAGAAGACGATTGAGAAAGATAGATAAAAGAGATGAGACCGCCCTTGACAACAGATAAGCTGTTATGTGGCCACTTTTTATACATGTTCGTGGCCAGTAAGAGAATTGGAAACATGGCTCATTCCTTGTAAAATTTTTGCTAAAATGTGATGCATATGAAAATTATTCAAATTTCACTGTCTGTAATACATACCTGCTTCTCCAACAGTAAGATAATCTCGATTACCATCGGTACCATCGCATAACTCTCCAAACTTCTTACGAGCGAAAGACATTTTTTGTTGATTTGTTTTAAATTCCATTTCTAAATATAGAAAATCAGACGATATGAACAGTCAATGTGAATATCGAAAAAAGAAAAACATAAATAATGCGGGTCAAGATGAGGGTAATGATGACTATAATCATCTATATATTTTCATAAAACATCCGCTGTTTCACTTATCTAATGTGACGGATTTAAACTATACATGGAAAGAATTATTTTTTTTTGTTTTCGCTTGTATATCGAAATTAACAGAACAAAAAAATTTCCATGCTTCATGTATGACACCATATATCACTAACAGAAAGAAGACGATTCTATCACAAGTGATTTCAAATAGAGAATAGATAAAAAAATGTTAAAGGGTAAAGTCTAATTGGAATTTCAAAAAGTCCTCACCTTCACCTTTACTTTATTTCGATGTTTTTTCCAACGTTGTCGTATACCACCAAAACAATGTTATATGATTATTTATTTCTAAATATTCAAAGTAATCAAACAAAAAAAAATATAAATGATTAAAAACGAACTTTTATTTTTATCATCAAGAAGGTTATCTCTTTTTCTACATAGAAAATTTTCTTTTATGTATCCTAAATCATTTCATTCGGTTCGATTATTATTTATTGTTATTTTTTCAGCTTGTTTGAAATCATTTTCGCTTGTATATCGAGCAAGAACAAATGATAATGAAACATTGTTAGGTGATGATGATGTTCGAATATTGAAACTTTTTGAAGCAAATGACAATCCTAAACCAGATGAACGAATAAATTCAACCACATTGATATCTATATCAGCAAATTGTGTTTTATAATTGATGATAATGAAGGATTTTCTTTTCTTGTTTATCCTATTTAGCTCATGATTTGTTCATTATTAAATAATCGAATAAATAAGAAAATCTGTTAGAAAAAAAACCAAAAAATAGTTTTTATTTTTGTAAAGAAAATAATTTTGAGTGAATGAATGAATAAATGTAAGAATCAATATGATTTACTTAAACATTAATATTGACGAGTAAAAGCAAACAACCAATCTCAAATATCATTTATTTTTATCCTGCATCTTGTTCTTTGTTATACATTCAATAGAAGGCACAGGCTTATTCATTTCATAATTAAATCAATTTATTTTAATTTTTTTTTTCAATCAAAGATATTATTATTGGAACTGTTTTAATTGACTGATATTCGAAAATCATTAATTTTTTTTAAATTTACAGATGAATCAAATTAATAATGGATTAACATATCATACAAATTATAACATGCGAATTTATCTGATATTTTCTTAGAAAAATTCGTAAAAATTTCTTTTATGGTATTGTCTAGCAGGTGTTCTACTTCGTCCTCATCCTCAAAACGATTATCATCTTTTATTTCACAAAATAAATTTCGTTTTTCTTTCACTAATTATTTAAAAAAATCTCATCATGATTATATACTCATTTTCTACATAATTAATTGAGAACTAAAGGTATTTATATTACGTTTATCATCATTATGAATAAGAATTTTAAAAAAATGGATTGAATCTTAAATCAAATAGGTATATTACAGCGCCATTTCAATTCGATGAACTGGATGTGCTCATCTGGCTCTTGTTAGTTTGATATGAAACTGTTTACCAACTCTTTTCATTTCACCTGCATCTGAGGAACACATCATTTCAAACTTCTCAGATATAATGAGTACTTCAGTAAACTCAATTAATTTTAGTTTCAATTGTTTACCAACACATTGATTCATCTCTTACAATTTATTGAACTTTACCTATCACACATTTATAGCCGATGCTCGCAGTGATGCGAGATTAGTGTAAGACGAAGATCTCATGAATGATAGCAGTATTTAATTTGTAGCTTTTAGGAATTGAAAGAGAAAAAATCAGGACGTCTTTTTATACAATAATGTATACGATAAAATTATTTTCAAATGAATCCGTGATAATGATATATTGTTTCAATAAACTTTTGATTTCAACATGTGCGTTAAATGTAGAAATAACACAACTATACTTAAATACAAAACTGAATTTTATTCTCGACTACTCTTGTAGATGATTTTCGAAATGGTAAATATTATAATATACTTAGGTCATACCAAAAGTAGTGAACCCCCCCCCCCTCTTAATTTCGTATGGACTGCTTGGAAAAATTTTTTTTTCTTATGAGCAGATAGAGCTTCTTTTACTCTCACTCTAAAAAATCAAGACACATGAAGTGTATAAATAAGATGTTTCATCCGTCTAAATAAGACACTTAGCGTTATTTCTGATTGGTTAGTTAAAGACTAATTTAGACACTTCAAGTGTCCGTGGATAACCGATTTGGAACACTTGAGCGTCTTAATCGACCCTGATTGGACTGTTTATACCAATCGATTTCATAGTCTTAGTACTGTCTTTTCTAGACACTTGAGCTATCTATGGCTTCTTGGCTCTGGATAAAACGTTAAAATATTTTACCTGACGAAGCATATTTTTCAATGAGCGAATTTTATAAATTTTATCTTCAATCGGAATAAATTAAAACTTTAAAAAAATTTTAAAAAAATTCTGTAATTTATTTTTCTTTTCAAATGTCAACCAAAATTGCACACTCTCTATGTTCATCAAAATGATACATTTTCAAAATTTTCTTGTTAAATAGATATGTCAAACTTACAATTTTGGTTGACATTTGAAAAGAAAAATAAATTACAGAATTTTTAAAATTTTTTTAAAGTTTTAATTTGTTCCGATTGAAGATAAAATTTATAAAATTCGCTCATTGAAAAATATTCTTCATCAGGTAAAATATTTAAATAATAAATTTTATCCAGAGCCAAGAAGTCATAGATAGCTCCAACATCTAACAACGTTTTTAATAAATAAATGTATATTAAAAAAATGTTTGCAATATAATGTTGAAGTTTAAAATCAAATATTTAGTTTTGATCTATTTTACTATGCTTAATAATTAATTTTGAATTCGCCTTTGTATCGATTTTCCAGTTCATTTGCATGATGAACTTTGTTTTGACATGACGAATTTATAATAATTTGGTATGAAACAATTTGCAAAAAGTTTATTATCTGAAAAAAAATTCATAAAATCTTTTGTTAGAAAAGAATAAAAAAGATCTTCAGTTTCATCAATATCTATATATTTGTAAAACCATTTTAGACTTGAATATAAATCTACTTGAAGCTATACCTACATATAGTTAATTACTATTTTCTTTTGAGTTTTCAATAAGCATTATAAGTAGTTTATGAGTAGGCCAGTGGTTGGGATTCATAAATACAATAATAGGAAGTGCTAATATTTTGTGTGGACCGGTAATACCAACACGAATATGCATTTTGTATAGGAAGTTCGTTGAGTGTCTAATGAAAATCTTAAGTTACTGAATCTTAACAAGAAGGAATCACATGCTCAATTCTTCAAAATAAACTAAAGCTCGAGAAACAGTGTAATAAAAATCTTTCCTACCTAAAGTAATTCACAATTGCGGTATATGATAAAATAAGCCGAACTATAAATAAATGAAAATAGAAAAAAACTGAATTCAAATTTAAAAAATAAATTGTTATCAGATTGAATTCAACTTCGACAGCCAAATAGAATGTTTGACTAGAATCAACAGAACGAAGAGCAACAATATATATATAAAATAGAAAAAAATATTCAAGGATTATTGAATACACTGTAGCATTTATCTTCATTTTTGAAAATGAGCTGCAGATGGAGACAATAAAGAACTTAAATAAAAGTAAGAGCAAATGTCTGATTTTAATGACCAATGGTTCATGTTATCTTACGGCACAACAAAAAAAAAGGGGCGCGGATGAACTTATTTTAGAAAACCCAAAGCCTGATAAGTATCCCAGGTCAAATATAACGGTCCGTAAACGGCCGTAAACGTTGCCAAAACGGCGGAAAACAACTATCGTTACGATGACCGTTTACGATACATCGGAAAACGGCTAAATAATGTAGTAAACGACGGCGTTTACGATGATCGTTTACGTGTCACCGGAAACGGCGGCCGGTACGACCATCGTTTTTCGCCGTTATTGAGTCTTATTCCGTCTATTAGACAAAATCGTTGTTTACGTGTCATAACATAGATTAAAGTGCCTTATTATTGCTTCTTCTTGTAATTTACTAAATTTAGGTTAATTTCAACATTGAAGTGAACAATAAGTATTTATTTCAAATAAAGAAATTTTCTTTTCTTTATTTAGATTCATCTAAAGATCGAAATACACAGCAAGTATTTTTTAAAATAAATTTTTGTTTGTTTTTCTTTATAGACTTATTTCAGCATCGATCTGACCAGTAAGTATTTCTAAATAGATAAAGAATTTTTTTTCTTTATTTAGATTTATTTCAACATCGATTTGAACGGTAAG